TAGGAGGGGGTAGGAGGGGGGTAGGAGGGAAGTGGGTGTGGTTATAAAAAGGACCGAGGGGTCTTTGTGCTGATGAGAATGCACTAGACCTCGCCCGTGTCGGTGTCCGAATTGTGGCTGTGACGTTGTTGTGCTAGTTTGCAAGATGTTGTCATTGCGGGGAAAGGGCACAAGAAAAGTCTCTGTTATTTCTTACAACTGCCTATGAACCTACCATTACGTATTTCTAAATAAAAAGTTTAATTTATAAAGTAACTGTGTTTGAAAAGCAGTTTTGTTTGTTAGCAAATTATAAAGATAAATTCGACTAAATGAGGAGGAGACTTGCACGGATGTTCACTCTGTCTGCTTCCCGGCAGGCCTGCGAGGAGCCATCGCGTTCGCCTTGGCGATTCGGGACACGGGCTCGCAGCCCAAGCAGATGATGTTCACCACGGCGCTGCTGCTCGTGTTCTTCACAGTCTGGGTGTTCGGAGGAGGGACCACGCCCATGCTGGCCTGGCTGCAGATCAGGTGAGCGGCCCCCGGGCGAGGGCACCGCTGAGGCAGGGCTGTGCTGACCTGCTCGAAGCACAGGGGCAAAGTAGCGTCAGTCACAAGGTGGCCCGATATGGCCTGTCGCCAACTGTCAACTTCTCCAAGACGCCCAGAAACCTCGGGGTGATGTCTGTTTACTGCCTGTCCCTGGAAATGGTTCATTTACCTATGAAGTCCTCCATTCAGCACTCTTTAGTACACTGAGATGGGTTATGGCGGTTACACAAATGAGTAAGACATGGTCCCCTCCTCGAGGTACTCACAGCCCAACAGGATTCACACAGAGAAAGCGGGACTACCGAGGAGACAGTGAGTTTGTTTCACTTTTAATTCCTCACAGCACTTACGGTAGAGCTGGGGACTCGGGACATGCTTAAACATACCTGACTGGCGAGCCACATGTTTAGCCAGAGGAGGCTACGGACAAGCCAGACCGTGTTCAGCTTGTGCCCGGCTCCAGCAGGGGCCCCCAGGTCGCGGTGCCTGTAGATGGTTGCCGCAAGGTGAGCTATGCGGGTAGCAGGCAGCGTGGCAAAGACTCACAGCTTGTGCCAATTGCGAAAACGGGTAAATCTGTTTTTTAATGCTATCTTTATTTAAGTGTGTCTTTGACCCAGATCCTCATTTTCATATTCCAAATGTAATGATACTTTAGGTGAATCACGTTTTATTTCTAGAGCCGTACGTCTTGGTGGGTCACACACTCCGTCCCGGGGCCCTGCCTGTTCTCTGTGAGGCAAATTCACACCCATCTCTGCCTGACCGGGAAAGGACTTCCAGGAAAATTACTACAGACAAGGGCCTTATTCCAGCACCAATACAGTGCCTGGCACTTGGTAGGATTGAATAAATAACTGACATGGAAAATTAAGTGACTATAACCACAAATGCAATATTCTTTTGTTAAGCATTTACTGCTGATTTTCTATGCATTTGGCAGAGGAAGCAGAAGCAGGGAGTTTACTTAGTAAGAAGTTTAGTGTAAGGAAGCTTATGCCTAAGCTACCTAACCTGGGCCAAGGCTCCGCTCTGAACCAAATTCAAGCAAAAAAGGGCCTCTCGCATTGTGAACGTTGGCCAAGCTCATAAAAGGGCTCTGACAAAGGTGAGTGGAAAGTGTTATGAAACGCTTGCTGAATGGCCTTCTAAGCATACAAGTGGCTGCAGTTCTTTCCCAGGGGCGGTTACTGTGGGCTCCTATGGACGCGCACACATCGCGCTGAGCTCCACAGCCCTGGGCCGGGAGAACTGCTGGTAAGAAGGCGGTGTGCTCAGATTCCTGGAAAATAACATTCGGCCGGTAGATTCAGACTTGCAAAAATCAGGGCTTGGAAGACAAAAGTTAGAGGTTACCGATCTCCACAAGGAAAAATATCCAATATGCTATCAGGTAAATTAGAATATTCAGAAAATGAAATGGTGTCAACATTTCTTCAAGTAGTGCGAATACAACCTATTTTCTACTGCTGCTTTCATATCCTGAAGAGGGTGACACGTTTATCCTCGTGCTCACGCAGGGATTCCCAGCGGCATCGCTGACCCCAGGGTGCGGGAGCCTAGGCGGCCTCTCACCTGCAGGTGGGCGCGAGGGAGCTGCAGTAACGGGGCGGGGCAGGCTGCGCGGTTATCGAGGTTACAGGCCGGGGCAGGGCAGGGCAGGGCAGGGCAGGGCCAGGAAGGAAAGGTGGCGATGCCCACCTCAGCCCCACAGCGAGGGCCCTGGAGGCCCTTGACGGGGTCACTGTGCCCTGCGGGGCGCAGCGCGGGGCTGCCCGGGCAGGGAGATGCCCGGCGGGATCTGGTTCGAAGGGCCCACAGATTCAATGCCAGGCTTGGCCGCCAGCCAGGAGGAGGGAGAAATAAGGAGAGGTTGGGGTATTCAGGGAAGGAGCTGGGGGCTCCAGTCTGGAGGGGGGCATGGGAACCTCAGCTGGGAACGAGAGCGTTACCCGAAGTCAGGGCAGAGACCCAGCAGAGGGGACCGAGGCCAGCGTGAGGCGGCCACCAGAGGGGCAGGCCCGGGGGCCAGGGCGTCCGCGCGGGCAAGGGCACCGCAGCGAGGCCGAGTTACAGCTGCGTGAGCCCCGACCCGCCGCTGGGCTCAGTCACCCAGGCCCGGGTCCGCCTCCAGGAGCCCGCCAGGGCCTGAGAGCGCGTCTCTACCGCATCCAGCAACGCCTGGACCCGCCTGCCCGGAGACGGGCTCATACTAACCGCCGCGCGCCGCGCTGCCGGGCAGGGGGACGGCGCGGTGTGACCGCCCAGGGCCA